CAGAGTCCTGGCAGGAGCTTTATTAAGCTCCCGACGGCGGCAGCTCCTCCCCTCGAAGCCGGAAGACTTCTTTTCTTAAGCCAATTCCTAACTTGATAAAGCATGTAAAGTAGGCTTCTAAGAAGGTATGCAATTATTTGTATTACACACTTGTAAAGTTTTTTTTCCTGAAAAGTGAATAAACTTTTAGTAAAAGTTTTAGCAATTCCCTAGTAATTTCTAAGAAGAGTTCTTCAGTTATTAGAAATTAGAGACTACTAAACTCTAAAAGAAACATACAGAAAACTTTACTGATATTCTATAAAAAATGGGAATATGGGTAAAAGAGATTTCAATTTAGTGAATTTATTAATAAGGAAATTTTTATTTGCACCATAAATCATTAACAGAGCTTGGCAGTTTACCATTTCTGTGTTATTTCTAGTATAATGGATCTTATATTCCTTTAGAATGGTATTTAAAGAGATAAAGCACTCAAAAAAGTAGATTGCAATTAATCAAATATTGCACTAAGGCTTTATTACTGAAAGTGGAAAGTATGCAAGTTGTACAAGAAAATGAAGGATAGTTTGCTTTCATCAAATTTATTTCTTGCTTTTTCAATAATAAAAACAATCACAGCAAAGGATATAATTCATACAGTAGTTCATTGGATACTTGTTTCTGCTCTCCCCTGACAAATAATTTGATTTCACATCAGAAATGAATTTTTCCTCCTACATCTGACCCTAAATTTTGATAGAAAAATACAGTGTTATTTAAGTCAAACATGACTCTCTTATGATAACTGTAGTATCTAGTGAGATCTTATAATAAGATTTTTACTGCATTTTTCAGAGCTATTTGCCCAAGTTAATGAAGTCTTAAAAAGAAAGGAAAATAGAAGTTGGATTCTACATAAATATGGATGCTGAACTGCTCTCAGTTTTAGGGAGGAAGGACATGGAAGGCAGGTATAAATATGGCATTAGATTGTTGCTTCTAAAGCTCAATAGTCCCTCAACACCAATCCTATCTTATTTAGCAACATATTTGGCCCTTATATGTACTCACATCATACACGTCAGAAGCCCCGAGGGGCTTCCAGATTGAAATGATTGGCCAGTGATATCACTGTTGCCTGGGGATGCCCAGTTGGGGACTCTTTTCATGTAGCCAGCAGGAGCTGGAGTAAAGGAGGTGAACTCATCCCATCCCATGGCAGCACAAGAGTCTCAAATACGAGCTTGCTAACCTCCAACCCAGCAACCTAACCATATGAGCCATTATAACAGAATTATAACATACTCTCGGGTAGTGTGTGCTTGGAATAAAAGAATCCAAAGTACCAGAAACTGAGAAACATGATAATTGATCCTTAGAAAATAATAATTGTGCAAATGTGGAATTTTCAAGGTCCAAACATACCCTAATTTAATTAAATAAATGGTACATTTTATTTTAAACTGGAATGCAAACTTTTTCTAGCATGCACAATTTACCTAGCTTTCAATATTCACATTTCCTTTATTATATATTTTGTATACATACACATATACTGTACATAGAAAACAAAAAGAAATGAAGTGAAATATTTAACATAACATTATATAACAATTGTCTTGAATAATTTCATTCATACATAAAACAGCAGTAGAGTATTATGCAATTTACTTTGCATCAAGAGAGATACCTACAATTTTTGGTGTCCAATATATTATTGGTGTCCTTTCACTTATGCAGTGATGTTCCTTTGCTGCCCCCTACTGCAGAGCATAGCATCATTTTCCAAAGGACCTCTCATTCTGACAAATTAGTGGAATGAAATCATAGACTGTAACTTTCGTACTAAGGCCTACCCAAAGTTATATACTAATGCTAATTTCTTCATATCAATCATCCCAGTAAGTTTAATATACTAGTAGAAATCAGTGAATACTATTTATTATTTTCTAACTGCTGAAGGCTTTTTAATATTAGTGTAATCAAAATATTCCCCAATTGATACTTCTAAAAAATAAAAAGATTTAGTTGGCACATATCTAGTCAGGTAGCAATACTATCTACAAACAGGAAGTATGACCAGTAGTGGGATCAGCTGGTTTGCGCCAGTTCAAGAAACCAGTAGCTAACTTTCTGAGCAGTTCAGTGAACTGGCTGAAGCCCATCACTGCACTGCTTGTTTAATTAAGGGTGGGAGGGGGTAAAGGATTAAGCTTAAAGAACTGTGCCTTTAGCTTTAAAGTTTCAGATACTTGAAGAGCATAAAAATATGCTACATTTGAAGGATTAAAATACAAATATTTTTTCCCCAGGCGTATATAACAACCAATAAGGATTCATGATAAAAACATCTGAATTAATGGTTGAACACACATACAAGTCTGCTGCCATCCATCAAAGCCTTTGTAGGAATGGCATCTACAACATAATGCTCTATTTGTATTTTTGTACAGGTTATCCTTGACACAATAGTTCATTTAATGACCATTCAAAGTTACAATGGCACTGAAAAAGATGACTTATGACCGTTTTTCACATTTACGACCATTGCAGCATCCCCAGAGTCATGTATCAAAATTCAGGTGGTTAAACTGTCTCACATTTATAACAGTTGTAGTCTCCCAGGGTCATGTGATTCCCTTTTGTAACCTTCTGACAAGCAAAGTGAATGGGGAGGCCAGATTCACTTAACATATGTGTTACTAACTTTAACAACTGCAGTTATTCACTTAACAAATGTTTGGCAAGAAAAGTTATAAAATGGGGCAAAACTCATTTAATAAATTTCTCACTTAGCAACATAAGTTTTGGGCTCAATTGTGGTCATGGTGAGGAGAGGCCGGGCGAGGCAAGGCTGGGCATGACAAGGAGTGGCTAGGAGAGGAGGGGAGGGGTGAGGCATGGCTGGGCGTGGCAAGAAGGGGCCAGATGAGGTGAAGCGGCCCTCAACAAGAGTGATGTCAAGTTGACTACACCACCCGTCACAGGACCACCCAGCCGCACCTACCCAGCCAGTCATTAGAGCAGAGAATCAGTTGTTAAATTATTTGAATCCCACCACTGGGTTGGTAAGATTGGCAATGGCTTCCACTATCAGTTTATTGGGAAAAAGAGATTAGAGTCACAGTTCGTTCTTTTAACAAACAGGACAATTAAAAAGAATAGGAATATTGAAAAATAAGTATTATTACCTGCATATATCATCCTTACTCTTTTTATAAGCTGAAACGTTATTTTTGATTAATTTGTAATGTGGGTTTGGAGACTTTGTGTTACAGAATGAATAATTGAAGACAAAATGATGAAGCTGGCAGATTAGATGCTCCAGATTTGGAGGCAATAGCCGCTACAAAAGATAAAAAACAACAAGAAGATACAAAATTTTAAGTGGGTAAGAACGAATAAAATGAAAGGTATGTAAATAATAACAAGCTACATGAAAATAGAGTTGCAAGTTAGGCATATGAACAGAATTCTCCGCAAAGAGTATAATAATCTCTGAACAGTTCTCAGATTGTGCATAGAAATATTGTTTTACCAGTAAAAATGATTAGCAAGGCATGAAAAATCAATATACAATTAGAAGCCTCTGCAAGCTCAAAGCATTGATCCATTGAGATTCTTGCTCTCTACATGATTTGCTGATCTCATCTTGTGTAATGGCCCCTTCTGGATAAATTTGTCCAATTCCTTCATTAGATATAGGGGAGCATTGGTTTCCGGGATAATAATATGTGTGTCATAATTATGAAAATGTTGCAATTGATGTCATTCTGACTTTGATGCTTCTTTGCAGCAGACACTAAGCAGGAACTTTCCATTATTCTTAGTGCAGCTGGTTCCCCCTCCCATATGGTTCGTAACTGCATTTCCTAAATTCTTGAGTTTTCTGTGGATGGAATTATAAATTAAATAATCATCTAGAGTAACTAGTTGGTTACTGGAGGGTCTGTAATTTTGCAAAGGTGAACAGGCTATATATGTACTATATGGCTGCACGATTTGAAACTTTTGTATCTGTACATAGGCCATGGTTCTGGTAGAGGATGTGAGGACATATTTGGCATTTCTGACCACTGCCTATCTAGTCGAGCTCTTCAAGAATCCAAGGTATTTTTATTTATTTATTTAATTTCTACAAACACCCCCCCTCCAATCCCACCTAAGTGATTTTGGGCAGCTCAGAAGATATACACGTGAAATTCTCTATGTACCCATTTTCCATCTTTACAACTGTTTCAAATATGTACAAACACCTAAATTGTGTTCATGACCTTGGACAACCAATTCAATCATTTAACATTAGTTTCCACAGAAAATGGAGAATTTATTACAGTATGATTTGCTTAAAATCATTGTAGCAAAATAGAGATCTGCAAATAATTGCAGATTATACCAAGATATTCAAAACAATAAAAGCCTCTCAGAATTTATTTGCAAAGTACAGACACTAAACCTACTTTTAAAATCTGTAGCAGAAGAGAGCCTACATAAGCTTTTTAGGGAAACAAGGGAGAAATGATCCTTAATTTTAAAGTAGTTCTTAGGAATACATCTAGGGCTGAAAAAGTTATGACCTGAAATTTTGTGCTCATAAATCTGATTTTAGAAGAAAGCTTGTAATTTATTCTTCCAATTGCAAAGATACGGTTGTACCTTTGATTTGTCGCATGGCTTGTCGCAATGCTACCAAGCACTGCGGAGGTTAAAGTGTTAACGCTCGTTTCAAACGTCTGTGTTTTCCTGATTTGGAATAATGAAAGGCCCACGAACGGGAAGCCACGCAGTTGGCAGTAGCAACTTTTTCTACGAGACATCCTCCATTCTATAGGTGGTGCTTTTCTCATACCACCTATTTATTTATTTTTGCTTCGGTTTCTCGGCAATAGGGACAGCCTTCCTTCCGCTTCCTCTCCGGCACTGTTACAAATCAAATGCCGAGTCGGTGATTACCGTGGCAATCGATGTGATCGCTCTCTCACTTCTCCTACACGCTGCGTTTGCGGCGCGCCAGTGTAAAAGGAACATTTGGAGAAATGCATGACTGGGAAGGTGAGCCGGCGACATCAGGTTCTCTGCAGAGCTAAATACTCCCCCCCCCCCATCTTTGCTTATTAATTCCTTCGTGTTTTCTGTAAGGGGCGAGAGACAAGCTATAGTTTCAAGAGACGGCTGTAGCGGCGACGACGACGACGACAATGATTTTTTCAAACTCTACAATTACTTGGCAGTAAATCCCTCTGGAATTCCTGCGACCTATCTCTAAGAAGAGCGTGTAGGAACGTGGATCTTGACCCTAGGTAGTGTTTTTTTTTTGTAGCGTGTTAACGTTTCTTTTGATTTCTGCATCTCTTTCACAACCTGTCGAGGGATAAAGTGAGAACGTAGAGGCTCTTCCTGTCCTTAATTAAGAGAGGCCTCCAGAGATCTTGACGGATCTTAATTTCTACAGCGAGGTCCTAAGTTTCAGACCTGCCGCGAGATTGCATGTTAACTTTCTCAATCCTGATCTCATTAGAAACAGGTTTTTAACAAGAATTTAATCCCTCTGCCCACCTTTTCCAAATATACCACAACTCAGACCGCTGTATACCTTCCAACACATCCTTTGATAAAGAACGCTCTGGTTGCCAGTGAGGGGTGTTGTGGCGTTAAGGAAGAGATCTGTTTTATAAATAATAATTCAGATCTCCCCAAATGCATCCGAGGAGGATTTAAACAAACAAGTTTGTCACTTGTCACAGAAATTTTGGGGCACTATGGGGAAAAAAATCCTGGAAATACCATGAATGAATTATCTCACAAGCAGGATGATTAAAAGAAACATCAATTAAATTTTTGGATGTCAATATCAAAAAAAGAAACCAAAGAATGTTAAATGTTTGCATTAGCACTTGATGAGGGGGACTGTGTTTTAAGCTCCTTATGCTATTTTTCCCCTATCATAATTGTATCCTTGCTTTTATTAGACTCCTAAAAGTAGAAATGGAGGGGTAGCAAATGACTCAAAAATCCCAAATGAAAACAACAAATCCCAGATGCAAAGAAAGGCAGACTAATCAGAACACATTTGTCCTGTATCTTAACTGATTTATTATGTATCATGGTTTTATTTTATACATAAAAAGAGCACTATAACATTTTTACACATGTATTCTTTTTAACTCTAGTTAGTTGAACATATCAGTACAACATGAAACTAGAATAGGGCAGATTAAAATTAAACCCAAGACAATATTGGTAACCTTGATTAACTGTCTTATCAGTCTAACCCGCCTCCCACAGTTTTCAAGAAGATAAAAAGATTAGGTTGCCTACTTGAAGAAAGGGATAGCATCTTTGTTTTAAAAACAATCTGCTTAGAATGTATAATTTGGATAAGAATAATATTTTAGAGAAAAGTGTAAATATTTCCTTTACAGCCAAATGAGGGTCTTATTTTAATTTTTTTGGGGTGGGGAGTCAACGTTTTCCTCCTGCATCTGTTCTCTCCTCACAGCAACCCCCACTTAGGCAGTCTGGTCTCAGAGAGAGAAAGTGGCCCAAGGAGCTTCTATGGATGAAGAAAGACTAAAATCTGTGTCCCCTTGGCTTTATTCAATACTTGTATTGAGAACTTAGGGAGTCTTCCAGTTTTTGACTGCAAAAACCTAGAGACTACTACATGTATTTCTCTAGGGCAGGGGTGTCAAACTCAAGGCCCACAGGCCAGATTTGGCCCTTGGTGTGTTTAAATCCGGTTTACCAGGCTGACCTGGAAATATCAAAGGACCAGCCTGCGGTGCCTGCTTTTGGCCAGCAGAGTTTACAGGAGGCCATGGAGGGTGAAAGTGAGGCATAAGCCACATCCCGTTTTAGCTGGTAAAATACTTCAGGAGGCTGTTCAGGCTGAAAACAGGCAGAGTTTTGGCCAGCAGGGTGTTGTAGGATGCCTCCATCCTATCTCCCCCCCCTCCACCCCCCCTCCCACTGACCTGTGGAGGAGATCTACAATGCTGATCTGGCCCTCAAATAAATCCAGTTTGACACCCCTGCCATGTAGTGATTATTGTGACTTTTTCAGCTGAGGTAAGAGCAGTATAAATTTTTATTGACTGAGTTTTAAAGAAGATATTGCTGAAATGTCTTCATGGAACTAAGCTGTAACTTAGCACTATTGGAAAAGGACTAATGCCCTGCAGTTTTCACTTAGATCTGGATTCAGTTTGTATTATCAAAGCTTTTCCCATGCCAGGAAGCTACAGAATAGAAACAGCTCCACTATTCTCTGTATTTGTAAGATGCACATATTACATAAAATTCTTATATTATAATGTATTATATATATAATATAGAACAGTTTATAATATTTTGATAGCCAGGTTGATCTAGCAGTTAAGGCACCTGACTAGAAGTTAGGAGATTAGGAATTCTTGTCTTGCCGTGTGTATGAAAACTATCTGGGTGACTTGGATCAGTCACTTTTATCCTAAGCAACCTCACAGATGGGGAAAATAAAAGAAATCAGTTATTGAGTTATTTATAAAAATAATAAAAAGTGTATTATAAATAAATGATACCACAATATCTTTAGCAACATCAAATAACAACATATGTGTATCCCATAAGGGTGCAATAAGTAGATAAAAATCCAGTTTAAAGGTCTCACTGACTGTAACAGAAGGCATGCATTGGCTTGCTTGGCTAGGTTAAATTGTTCAGTAAACCATTATTTTGTTTCTTGGCTATCCAAAGTATTGTCTGAAGTCTCAAGAAAACATGTTGGGTCATATTTTCTTATAGATTTGCAAATTTCATAAATCTTGCTTTTTAAAGATGTGTATATGTGTGATTCTTACAATCTTTATACACACACACCTGCTTCTATCATACATTTAGTGCTTTTAAATATGTATTCCTTTAAACCACAAAACTTTATTGATTGTACAATCATTATTGAAGAGAGTGCTTTATTTAACATGACAATTCTGACAGAGTTTTTATTATTGTATAATTATTTAAGCACTGCACAAAACTCAGGAAACTCCTTACAAATAATAGGCAGATAAATAATTACAGATCTTTTGTGAGTATAGATTTTTCCTATTCATAATCTGGTTCATCTCTGCTGTTTTCAGAATTCATTTGCTTTAATAAAGCCATTCCAGGGCCATCCCATGAATGCCTACTCAGAACTCATTGTTCCCAAGTGATACACATAGGATTACAGGTTAAATAATACTGGTTGTACAGATATCATTAATGTACTGATTAACTGTATTTTTATATACTTTAGTTTAAGCTGTTAAATTTGTGGCATTCCAGTTTGGACTTTTCCCCAATGATTATTTTCAAAATATACCGGTAGGTGATAGATAGAAGCTTTGGATGTACTTCTAAATTCGTGAGCCTTGAGGGAGATACTTCAAGAGGGATGCTTCTTGTGCTCAGATATATTTTTCTCTTTACTGTTAGTTTAGCTAACTTAAGTACATGGTTTGGGACTGAATAATACTATAAATTAAGGTGTGTTTTTCCTATAATAAACAATAGTAAACTGTACTCTTGGTGACTATTATGGTAGGATAGTTACATAATATTTCTTGCTGTTAAATGTTCCTTCTTTTAGACTGAATGTATTCCCATTTGGAAAGGCAGGCAAGGAATAGGCACTTATTAATAATAGTTTATTACATCCATTTTAACTACAGATCTTAGGTATTATAGCCTTTGCCCAACAACTGCTGGCAGAGAAAATGCATCAGATAAAACTCAGTAAGGTACAATAAAAAGTTCAAAATCCAGAAACAAAAGAGCAACATGGAGGAAAACTAGTTAGAAGTACTGCTTAAAATTAACTAAATAAAAGTGGGAAATTATGTAGCCTCATCTTAAGAGTGGTTACTAGGAAGGGAGTTCACATGTTTCTAGGGCTTATGTCTAAAATAAATGAATATCAACTATAAAATGCTGAATTGTAATACTGTACAATAATGCTTTATTTGCTAAGGTTTTACCTGTATAGTTTTGAGCAGGACTGGCTCTCTAGTAAACATGCTAGAAATAATTCTCCTTGTCTTCTGTGGGGTTTATAGGGGTGTGCTTTAGATTATAGTCTGATAACCAAAGCCTAGCCCTAAGTATATGTTTGATTACTTCTGCATCCCTGTCTTTTAATAAAACTTTGCTTCCTAGAGAGTGAGTAAGGTGTTTGCAGGATGGAGAGAAAGGATGAAAGCAGTACTGTGCCGCTCTGATGCAGGCTCCTCGATTTTTGTACATGCATTGTGTCAACAATGCAGCTCTGGAAAGGGAAAACACTGGCCTACCCTTATTAGACCATTGTTTTTGGCATTTTAATTAAAATTGGTGCTTGCAAACATTTGAAAAAGAAGCAAACTAGGCAATCTGTATCAGTGTGTGGTTCATTTATGAGGAAGACTCACACAAGAAAGAATGGCTGTTTTTATGAAGAACTGTATGTACTCATCTCTGACTTGAAACAAAATAGAATTTTAATAAAACCCTTTTATTGCAAGGAACATACCATTACTCCCTAAAATACAGATAGATTCAACTTCTACAAAGAAACCAACTTCCTTGCATGCTCTTTACTCAGTAGCATTATTTATTCATGCAACTTTCAACATGATTCAATTAGTCTTTTAAACTTTTTGATTCTATGTCTGCTTTCTGTAACTCATATAACAGCATCTGAGGAAGCATTGCTTCTTTTAGAAGAATCCTACAACTGCAAAATAGATGCTGTACTTAGAATTCTTTAAGTTCTGATGAAGCCCAATGCCAGATAATCTATATTCTACTAAAACTCTTGTATCTGATTGTTTGTAAATTCAATTAGGCAAAACAGTGCATAATAGGGCAATAATTTTTGAATCAACTTATCTGAAATGGGCTATCTGGGACCATAATTCCTATATGATTGAAATTTGAAAAAGCTGTGGTTACTTCAGCATCACTGCACATTCTGACTGCACATATCCTAGATACCTGTAGTTGTGTGGCAAAAGGGAAAAGAGGAGAGATGTATCCCCATCTTCTTTCCTGCCTTCCAGTGAGTTGGCTGGGGCAAGGCCTTATGACCTTATGATGGTAGGATGGCTGGGGACTACTAGATGTCAACCCTTTTCTGGAATGGGGAGTGAGGGCATAGTTTTCTGTATAGTTCCTCACTTCCTAATTCCTCCCCTCTCCAGAAAAATAGCAGACTGTGGATTAGCTGAAGAGGAAGAGTGATTTCTGATGCTCCCTGTCAGCTTCTGATATAGTTAGTGAGGAAGTTGGCAGGTAATCATAAGTC